TCTGATGAGCTACACACTTAGCACTTGAAGCCAGATCTAGAGATCAGGGTTTCTGATGCCCACATTGCCAGAGAACAGGGAAAGGACTGACCCACAGAGTCCATGGTCAGAGCTGAGCTCTGCCACGGAGGGTCCTCTCTCCCAACTTCCTCCTCTCCTGTGGGTGCTGGCCTTGACTGCACCCTGCAGATGCCACTGCTTGAGTCACAGTCTCTGTCCGCTAAGCTGGGAGCTACTCCAGCCTTTGAGTATCTTCCTGCCTCAGCTAACCAACCCTTTTTCCCTGCACCTCCAAAACAATGACTAGAAATGGAAGTGTTAGTAGAGAACCACAAAGCCAAAGAGCACCCCTGAGACTTTAGGCTTTGGAAGGCTGCATGGATAGTACCTTCGAGTCAGGAAGGGACACGGTCCCAGATTCTTAGTTGTGGTGTACTAAACCCTCAAATTATCAGATCTACACACATGCACACACATACACACACACACACCTAGCTATGACAACTCTCTGATTCCATGCCATCATCTGGACAGCAGGACATGAAGCTGCACTACATTCCAGCCTTGCCCAGCAAGATTTAAATTTTTCAAACTTTAAACACATCCCCTTCCACCCACTTTAAAAGAGCCATAAGAAGCATTTAAATTCATTGATAAGAAGTCTCTCCCCTCCGAAGAATAAATGCTGGGGCCTTGGCCATCTGTGAGTATTCCCTTTCTCGACACAAGAGCAGCTCACCGACCTCATTTCTTATTCCTTGCTGCCCTGGTTCTCAGCCCTGGCTACACATTTGACCTGCCTGGGGAGATTTGCAGCTTCCCAGTGCCCAGGTTTCATGTGGACCCATTAATTAAACCGGATCTTTGGGGGTAGGGCTCAGGCATCAGTATTTTCAAATCTCCAGGTGATTCCAAAGTGCAGCCAAGGGTGAGAACCTCCACACAAGGTAGAGACAAATATATGGAGGACGCCCTGAAGGGAAGATCGAGCGAGCATCAGGGGTGAGAAAGACATGGGGAGCCACACACGGCGGTCAGGGAGCCAGAGGAGTCAGTCTGAGGTGGGTACTTTCTCCCCAACCCTCGGCAGAACTGCCAGAAGAAATAGGACGTGGATGGGAGCAGCAAGCCTACACTGGCAAAAACCTTCACATGCTTCTGGCCCACTACTGCCTGCATCCTCTGGGGACTCAAGCACCCTCTTAGTGGTGTGCATTCAGACCCGCTGACTGTGGACTTGAAGGGGGCAGGGCAATGAGTGAAAGAAACAGGCTGCGCAGTGAGATGGAACGCAAGCCCTTTGTGTGGGGACGCTTGATGCGGTGGTTAATTTCTTGATTCTCATCACAATTCGGTTCACGGGAGACTCCTGGAATGTCTTTATCCATCACAGATGGTTTGGGAAGATGATAAATTAATATCGTTTAAATGGAGGCATGGCTGAAATGGTTAAATGGCAATGTCTTCTTTGCCGGCTCCAAAGAGAAAAAGCCTCCAAGTCCATAAGGAAGACAAATGGTAAACAAAACCGCCTATCTTTTACAGACTCCAGGACGAGTATCATTCACAAATCATTCTTCGTAGAAAAGGGAGAAATTCATCTCATCTGACTTTGTATAGGACAACAGCCCACGCCATAATGAGGCCTTCCCAGTGCTGTGAAATCGTGCTGAATAGCCGAAGAGTGCAGCCGCCTGTTCACTGGGCATGTTTATTACAGCCTTTTGTATGCACCAGCCCTGCCAACCCTGGTTTGGTCTAAACTAGGGGAGGGGAGAAAGAACCCAACGAATTTGTTGCTATGAAACTTCCCAAATGAGGGGCCGCATAATAACGTTTGGAATCCGATGCCTTTGCTCCAAGCTGTTCTTGTCTGGTCCACCCCTGCTCTGAACTGATCAAGGTCGGGAGTCAGCCAATCGCGGCAGTGTATGGGTGGCCTCGGCCCCCTGCCTGGGGCTCCTCCCAGGCCCTGGGAAGTCAGGGGGTAAAGGAGGCCCTTGTGGCCATTCCCAAGCACCCTTAGGTCAACTGCCAACTTCAGGCAAGCATCAGTTGTCCCAGTTCCCCTGTAAAATAGATCTGAAATGGCAAAGAAGTGCAGCCTTCACCTGAGGCCTCTGGGGAGGCTCGCCTGGGTTGATCCCAGGAGGCTGGGGACTATGGGTGCCCTCACACAGAGAAGATTTTGGAAGCCCAAGAGCAATCCATGAGAAGTCAAAATGCTGGGGGCCAAATGTTTCCCCCAAAGGAATCATTTCTTCAAACTGTCCAGCCCCGGGAAGGGAAGACAAGACAGCAGACACGAGGCAGGTGAAGACCCAACTGAAGATCTCAAGGGTACACAGCCCACTGCCAGCGGCTGAACCTACAGCTGGTTCCTGCCAAGATCTCGGGGTCTCTCCCTGGTAGGATGTGTCCTAGGAGGGATGTGAGGATTCAAAGTTCCCACATCCCCTAAGGTGACACCAGGAAAAGGAGAACTGAGGGGAAAGATCTGGAACTTTCAAGAGATGCCTTTCCTCACCAAAAAGGCAAGAATGTTCACCTCATGTCCTTTTTCTCACCAATCAGACATCAGATCTTTTAAGCAGTATGTCTTCTCACCAATCATGAAGCAGGGCCCTTCAGGCAATGCTTTTCCTGACCAATCACCGTTAGCACCAGCCGCTAGTGTTTCACCTCACAAATCAGGAAGCACTGTTCCACCCTTTCCTGCCACTCTTCACCAGTGGGCTATACAGGTGTCCTCCTGAGCAGAGTTCAGCCTTACATCTCTCCTCTCCCGTGGGTTCTTCTCCCAGGGTTCCCACCAAGGCTGGGGGCAGCTGCTGTCCAGGGCTGGGAGGGACGACACCACCATCAAGGCTGGCCACAGCACTTACAGTAAGACAGGACCACACCCTCGCTGCCCTGCATCTAGTCCTCCTGGAAAGCAGCAAAGGAAGCCAGGGTCTCCACACCACTTAACCAGAGTGGCAGAGCCCCAGAGAGTGGTCTGCAGGTTCCCAGGACTCTGGGGCTTTCTGACATTTCAATCGAAGGAATGGGAGGCCGCACATGCTTCTCGGCCCTCCTCACAGCAACAGGGGAGAGGGAAGGGAGGCAAATGGCAAGATGGCCAAGTCCCTGCTCCCTCCTGCCTCTTTAGGCGACAAGTTTTTCCGGCTCTGACAGCAGAAACTGGCCCAGCAGTATATGACCACTGCCCTTCTGTGCAGAACCCAGACCTTCTCACCCATGGGCACAGGGCTGTGATTAAAATTTCTTAGCCAAATCCCCAAGAAATCTATGCACAACCAGTTGTTTACAAGACCCTGGCTTTAATTTCTTCTGTAAATGAAAGACAACAAACACTTGGATGCAGGCAAAGGTGCTGGACACCTTCCAAGTGTGTTCTCTGCAAACAAACCCGAAGCCTTCTCCCCCTGTGCCTTCCTGCCACTGTCGGGGTGTCTTGGGTCCCTAGGCACAGGACACTTTCTTGGTCTTCTCTGCTCAAAGTCTTCTGAAGGATTCTCACCTGAATCAGTTGTTTTTGATGTGAAGAGAGCCCATCTACCATTATGCTTAAATTACTCTTGACAACCAGCAGAGGCAGCCTTAAGTCACAAATCAGGAAGCACTGACTGTCCCACCCTTTCCTGCCACCCTTCACCAGCGGGCTATACAGGTGTCCTGAGAGCTTGTGTCTTGGGAGCCACCCTATTCATCCCTGTTTGTTTGGAAATTGAAGTGATTTCTCCTGGAAAAAACAGGCTGGGAAACCTTTTCTTTCTTTTTTTGGAGAAAACTGTTTTTGTACAATAAGCAGAGCTGGCTTCACAGGCTCCATGATCAGAAGGTCACATGCTTGGTTGAAGCTCTGCTGTTGCCATTTTGAAATTCTTAGTAGTTCCTGAACAAGAAGCCCCATATTTTCACTTTGCATTGGGGCCCGACAAATTATGTAATTGGTCCTGCACACAAGTGCCCAACATCTGTTAAGAAGATGATACTTTGGCTTCATCTGAAGGCCAAGAAGGAGCCACAGAAGGGTTTCTCTACAGCAGTTCATCATCATGGCCTAAGTCAGCCAAGGCTTGGTCTCCCCCATGTCAGAGTCTATACAGGTCCATGTCAGGACCCTATCTACACTGGACTGTGGCCCAGGAACCCTCAGAGATAAAAATCTTCTTGGGAAGCCATGCTCACGGCAAGCCCAGGCTCTAGGCCCCAAGTTTTGGACCCAGAGAGCCCTGGTTCCTGGAACTCCCAAAAGCAAAAGTGAGGCTGGGGTTGGAGTGGGGGGGTCCCACTTCTCCCTCACAATGTCACTAAATTCCCTGGCATTTTGTCAGCTCCTCTGAGTCATCTGACCATTGCTCCGTTTTTGTTAGTGGGAGAAAACAAACAGCGGAAAGTTAAAACAACAGTGCTTGCTTCAGTGAACGAAAATAGAGTTTGCCGTCTCCCACTTAATTTTTTGTCCTGAGAAGTAAAGCTATTTGCAGGTGAATTCAACGTTCCTCCCCTGCCACTGCAGCAGCCAGCCTGCTGCTGCTGTGTGTGTCTGTGTGAGCGCTGGGGGGCCGGGGGCAGGGGCAGTGTGCACACTTCCAAAGAAATACATCTGCGGGGTTTTGGTAAAAGAGAGTCCTTTGTGCCACGTAAGCCTGGTGAACATGACCCCCGCCCTGTGGTATGCGGCACACCTGTGCAGACGGGCGAGAAGCCGGGTGGGGGCAGGGGCGGCGGGCAGGGAGCCCTGCACCCTCCCAGGGCTCACACCTTCCCCTTTCTTCTCCTTGGAGCCATTTCTCCATTGCCCCTTTGTTGCGGCTTATGCCTCCAAATACCAGGGAGGCCGTGCGCGTGCATGTGTGCGTGTGCACACGCGTGAGATTATCTCGGTCAGTGCCGACTTGTATGAGGACCAGAAAAATGAAACAGAGGAGCAGGACAGAGGAGAGGGGGGATGGGCGGGGATGGGGCCCCGAGGCCCCGCCCCCGCTGCCTACCTTTGCAGGCCTTGCGGTGGGTGATGGGCTTGCCCATGTCGCGGTAGTAGCCCTCCTTGCAGTAGTGGCAGTGGCGGCCGGCAGTGTTGTGGCGGCAGTTGAGGCAGACGCCCCCGCTCTTGCGCCCCGACAGCTTGTAGAGCTCCATGTTGAAGCGGCAGCGCCGGGCGTGCAGGTTGCAGTTGCAGGCTGCGGGGGAGGCAGGGACAGGGGTCAGGGCGGGGGTGCCGGGAGAGGCTCTGTCCCCCCAGCACCCCGTCCTCTGCTGCTGGACCACAAGGTGTCTTTCCTCGGGAGCTCTGCCTTGGCTCCCGTTTGCCTCAGTGAGCACTACTGACCACCGCAGTGCCACGCCAAGGCACCTGCTTCCGTCTCAAACGGAGACTGTTCATTTGCAGCATCCAGCCAGTCGGCCAGCCCCCGCCCCACGGGCACACACACACACCTCAGAGCTGGGAGCTGTGGCTGTCCTACTCCCTGAGCCCAAACCCTACTGGTTAAGGCTGAATTGCGTCCCTCCGCCCTCATCCATATGCTGAAGCCCTAACCCCAGCACCTCAGAATGTGACTGTATTTGGAGAGACCACTGTTCAAGGTAGAGCCTTCAAAGAGGTGATTACATCAAAAGGAGGCCATTTTCAGTATGCCCTACTGCAATCTGGTGTGGATATATAAGAGGAAGTCTGGACACACAACGAGATACCAGTGGGTGCACAGCAGAGGGAAGATCAAGTGAGGACACGGGGACAAGAGGGCCCTCTGCAAGCCGACCTCAATAAGCGAACCCAGCTGACACCGTGGTCTGGGACTTCCAGCCTCCAGACCCGTGGGAAACAAGTGTCTGCTGGTTAAGTGCCCAGCCTGTGGCACTGGTAGAGCAGCCAGAGCAGACTCACACTGCTTCCGGGGTGCTCACCACCACCACCTTGAGCTCCAGCCCCAGGCTCTACTCTCTTTTCAGGCTTCTCTTCATGCCGAGGGCCTGGGGACCCGCTGCACCATCTCCTGTCCCTTCATTGACCTGAGTGACTTTCTGTCTCCTGTGGGCCGTGCTCCTGCCCTCTGAGCCCATGGAGAGGGGCCTCAGCATCCCCTTCTCTGGTTTTCCTCCTGTGCAGTCCTGCCTCCCTCCACCGTTCCCTCCAGGCTCCCACAGACTCAGCACCAGCTCCCCCCACTGATGCCCTCCTGCGTCTGCCCCCTTCACGCTCCAGGCTGACTACCTCTGGGCTCCTGACTCCCACGTCTGTATTTCCAGTTTCTGGTGTGGGGTCTTGAGTTGGGCCCAGAGGCACCGCTCCCAGATTCATTCCCTCCTTTTCATCCGTCAGGCCTCTGATCCCTCTTCCGCCTCAGCTGAGCCCTCCAGGCTGTCTCAGCACTGTAACCAGAGCAGTTCTGAGCACCAATCTGCAGATGTTCACTACCTACTTAAAATCTTCCAATGGCTCCCATTTTTTCTCTGGATAAAATAGCAGTGATTTAACACAGACTTCAAAGCTCTGAATAAGCCAGTCCTGCTTCTCCCTGCCACCACAGCTCTGCTCGCAGCCCCTCTCATCCTTACGCTTCAGCTGTAGTACCAAACTTTTTTCAGTTTCCAGAGTATGCCACGTATGAGGACCCCTCACCTGCCCCCTCCAAGGCTTTGCATACACTGTTCCTTGTGTCTCAAGCCCCCTCCTCAACTGCCTGCATCCTTCTCATGATCCATATCTTGGTTTCAATGTCTTGTCCAAGCCCATCTTCAGCCCCGACAGCCTGGCTTAGGCACAGGGGATATGGGCTCCCCAGGATCCAGCCTGGTCCCCACACAGCTCTCGTGCCACTCCATGACACCTGTGATCTGCCTTCTTTAAGCTTCTAACTCTGGAAAACTCCAGCTTACAGAGACACCTCATCTTGCTCACCCTGTAGCATGGTTTGCTCTGCTTTTGTGCTAAGCTTGTTTGAAGTCACTTTATGTCATTTCTATAGAAATACATTTTTAATGCCAGATACTTGAAAAACAAAAGCAGAAAGGGGGAAAAAAATGCTTTCCAATTTGCACCAACCACCATTCCTTGTAGGCTTTAATTAACATTTGCTCAGCAGTGGAGCTACTGAAGCCTTTCCTACAGACATGGACCAGATTGTACATATCACTTCATAGCCTGTTTTCTTACAATGATGAACACTTTTTAATGCCAGATAATGGCCTTCATGATTTGAAAGGTTGTCTAGTCCTCCACTGTACAGACACACAAAACTGGCTCCTGGGAATCCACAATGACTACATTTAAAACAGGTTGCCTCTGGGTTGGGCAGTTAGGTTGTTTCCAGTTTTTCACCATTACAAATAACACAGCAGTAATCACCTTTGAACATACACATTGTATTCTGCTCTGATGACTGTTGCACAGTAAATTTCTCAAGATAGAATCGCTAGGTTAAATTTTGTATCTACATGTTTTTAGCTTGGGATCCAAATTGCCAAACTGCCCTCAAGAAAGTCTGTCCTAGCTTACACTCCTACCAGCAGGATATGAGAGCTCCTATTTCGCCACACCCTTGAAAAGAATAACAATATGCAATTGGTATCAGCATTCTTTTTTCTTAATCTTTGCCAATTTGTCTGGAAAACACACATGCACAAGATTTTAATTTGCATGTCTTTGATTACCAGTGAGGTTGAACATTTCTCCATGTGTTTGTTTTTCTATTTGTATTGCTTTTTTAGTGCATTGCCTATTCATGCCATCTACCCAGTTTTCAAATAAGATGGGTTTTTTGCATACAATGCTCTTACAGTGGATTAAAAACCACTTGTCTTCTCTACCATACAAGCTGTAAATATTTTTACCAGTTTTTCATTAATGTATTACTTTTGTGATTTTTAAAAAAAGGTTTGCCTCTTTAATTTTTCTCTCCAAAGTTTCTTTAAATGTTCTTTCTAGAGCCACCCTCCAAATCACACAGCCGTTAGTCACTCGATTTACAAGTGCATGGACAAGGGCTTAAGAGAAAGCACTGAGGGAGATATGAGAAAAGACAGCTCACTCCTGAAGTTTAGAAGCAGCTGGAAGCCAAATGAAGCCAAAAAATGATTGCTGAGAGCCTTACCAAGGATCCCTTAGCACCTCCAGCCCTTGGGGCTGAGCTCAATCATGTGTGAAGAGAGAACAGCAGTCCTGCCCTGCTCACCAGCACAGGGGACCATCCTGCACATATACACACATCCACAGTCTCTTTGGACTCAGTCAGACAAGAGTGATGGGGCTGCTCAGAGTGGTTAAGTGACCTACCAGCCTGGAGCACCGAGCCAGTAAATGGGGGCCCAAGACTGGACCCCAAGTATTCTGGCTCCTGACATCTGGCCCTGGAATATGGATCTTTTGTACTGGGTCAGAAATCAGAGTCTGGCACCCCTGCCCAGGGACAGCGATCTGGAAGGACCACCTGGGTCTCACTTCCTCGAGGCTCTCTTATACAAATAAAGGCCTCAGTAGCAGCATCTTCTGGCCCTTCATGGAGGCAGAGGCTAGTCCTGAGTCCTCCTCTATAGAGACGGCTCCAGCCACCCCCCATTTCCCCAGTGGGGCTGCCGGGGCCTCTGTGCCCTCCTGGGAGCTCAGCTGCCCCCTTCCCTAACCCAAGGGCAACCGGGGTGGTATCTCCCTTCCATGTGCACCTTGCCACAACAAAAGGTCCTTCCCAAACAACTGGTCACACAAAAGAAAGCTCAGAGGCTGAACATCAAAAGACAGGATTCCTCTCTCTCCCCACCTCCTCATGGAGCTGTCAGGGGACATCAAGTGGCAATTGCCCACGCTCAGCCTTCTGCAAAGTATTTTACAGCTTGTTTTCTTTTCTTTTTGTTTTATTTTCTCTGCACAAATGGAAAAATGCATCAGGCAAAGCAGCTCACATCTGGATCCCTCAGCTCCACACAGAGATGTCACCCAACTCCCAGCTTGTTCCCAGCCCCTTCCTCAGAGAGACCCCTTAATCCCTCGCGCCTTCCTGTTTATCTCCTGCCTCTCTTGGAGGCAAAAATATTGGGTATTAGTTTCATTATCAGATTTCAAGGCGGGAAGAAAGGGCAGCTTTGTGAGAACAGAGAGGTCAGCCCCAGTGAGAACAGGGGCTGGGGGATTGGTGCGCAATTTCTGTGGGCTGGGCCAGGCTGTGAGATGCTACAACCTGCCCAGGGTTGATCTGGTCTATGCCCTGAGCCCTCCATGCCCTCCTTCATGGAGTGAAGTGGGGCAACCCTCACTTCACTCCATGAAGTGGGGATCACCACAGTGGCTTGTGGGATCACCAAGGACACATCCTATGTTGCTGTGTTTTAGACCCAGGGGCATAATATGGGGCAGGAGGTAGAAGGAGGAAAACCCTACCCTCCAACCAGAAACCTGATAAGGAAAGGGCCCAAGTGATTGGGTCCCATTTTTCTCTATCAAAAGGTCCTCTCAGTCCTTTAACACATGCTTGTCACCACCATTCCTTCAGCTTTTTGAACCTCTTCCACTAACTTGGGCCCTCCAACCCCTGGCCAGACCCAGGCCAGTTCAATTCATCATACATCAGGCACTCAAGCTACATGTCAGGCCCTGTATCACAGGCCATGAGGGAGACAGGGATAGACAGCACACTCTGATCTGTCCAGGAGCTCCTGGCCCAATGGAGGGAGAGGCTAATGAGCAGTCTTGGCAGCAAGCTCTTAGCTCAAGTGGGACAGATGCTCTCTTCAGCCATGTTGGTTCCTGGAGAAGAGGGAGAGTGTTTACCCTTACATCACCCAGCCCAGAGCCAACCTCAATATGCTTTTGTTGTGCAAATGAAAGAAAGAGAACAAAAGTGGGCAAGAAAGAGAAAAGGTGGACAGATGGATGGATGGATTGGGTGGATGGAGGGTAAATGAGTGGGAAGATGGACGAATGAGTGGATGGATGGATGGGTAGATAGAAGATAGATGGGTGGGAGGGTGGGTAGATGGGGGGAGATGAGTGGGTGGATGAAAGGATGGGTGGGTGGATAGATGGGTGGGTGGGTGGATGGATGAGTTGCTGGATGGATGGGTAGGTAGATGAGTAGATGGATGGATGGAAAGATGGGTGGGTGGGTGGATGGATGGGTGGGTGGACAGATGGATGGATGGATGGATGGATGGACAGATGGATGGATGGATGGATAGATGATGGTGG